AAGCGCCCTTCTGTTGCCGCGCTGTTGTCGCGGCGGTGATGATGCGCGGCGATGACGTCGCGGCTTTAGTGCCGCGATTTTATCGCCGCAATTTTGACCAGCGCGGTTTTGACGTGCCACGGAGATAAATAGGATAATCCATGAACAAAAGCCCATTAGGGTGTCAAGTGAATTTTAACTCATGCTGAGAATAGGATATAAGCTTCTACAGCAGCCAGCTTTGATGAAGGTGATGATGCAGGACAGACCATAATGTTTGGCAAACCTTAGCCTGCCACTGGTTCCAGTAACTTACCATTGTTTCCTTGTTCCGTATGACGATTCAGTCTACCTAATTAATCAAACAGCCTGGGCAGCCTTTCTCAGAGTCTGTCAGCCCTTGATGTCACTTTCCTAAGTTCCTCATAGTGTTGGGGTTGAGTGTGGCTGGATAAAGAGGACCTGTATTTGAAGGTGAGCTATAAGGTAAAGGTACCCCTTGCACATATGTGCTAGTCGTTCCCAACTGTAGAGGGCGGTGCTCATCTCCGTTTCAAAGCCGAAGAGCCAGTGCTGTCCGAAGATGTCTCCGTGGTCATGTGGCTGGCATGACTAAACACCAAAGGCGCACAGAACGTTGTTACCTTTTCACCAAAGTAGTCCCTATTTTTTCTACTTCCATTTTTATATGCTTTTGAACTGCTAGTTGGGACAAGTAACCGCTCATTCTGTTATGCGGCATTTGGGATTCGAACCGCCAAACTGCCGACTTTCTGATCGACAAGCTCAGCGTCTTAGCCACTGAGCCATCACGTCCCAAAATGCCACTAGAAGAAACTGATGGGGTGTTCAATTCCCATTGTGTCATGTGGTCCTTATACTGTAGAATCTGGGCTTTCATTCTTCTACCCAACAATTTTAACTTCCAAAAGCGGCAATCTTGCCTGTATTAGTATTACTGGGAAATGACTAACTCATGAGGATGGGTGAGAACGGGGGGAATGTTCCTTTTTACAAGCCTGGAAGGGTTCCACAAAGCTCAATCCAGGTCTGGCTTCACAGCAATCCAGCATGATTGAACACCTCTATTGTAGGTCCTGAGTAGTGCTCCTCTTCTGGTTTCTTGCAGAGAGGCCGACAGATTCAATTGGCCATATGATCAGCCCAGATCTTCTCTTCTTGAAAGCTTGAGAGCCCTCTTTTCCCCCAACAGATGGACTATCATGCCTGAGGCAGTGAAATACAAGATCACCAGTATTGCCTCTTTTTTATTAAAAAAAAAAAGCAGAAGTGTACGCATAAATTATTAATTCAGAATGCAAGAAAAGAGGATGCACCAAGTGAAGACTGGACTCTTTGACTTAGCCTAATGACTGCTCTTTCTCTGGAGTCGTTCCTCAGCCTGCAAGTAGGGGCATCACAGGACTGAATGCTCCTTCAAGTGTTTAAAGAACAAGCTCCTCCTGGAGAAGACTTGGCTGCAATTTTGCCTTTCCCTCTTATTTTGGCTTCTCCACAAGGCTCCAACAGGGATGGAGGAAAGCAGGGAAACTGATGTCAGCCATTCCGTAATAGTATCTGGAAAAGACTTTGGGAGGTGTGTGTGTGTGTGTGTGTGTGTGTGTGTGTGT